TTGAGATAGTATACATAAAAAAGAAACTAGGAATCAACAAGCAAATAATTTAGAAAATGAAAATCAAATAAAGAGAATACACTTTCAAATATCATTTTTAGAAATCTGAGAAAGGTTGTTACTAAAGGACAGCCAAAACTACCTAGTCACCATAATCAACAAAGTCAATATCCAACAAGTGAATTATCTGTCAATAGCAAGAAAAAGCATGGACAAAATCAATATAGCTACTGTAAGAGGTTGGGTTATAATATTGCAACATGCTCTAAAAAAGCTAAAAATTAGCAACTTTGAGTATTGTATGTAGTGTATATATTTAGCATAACAATAATCAAATTTATTGTGTGGCAGATATATTGATTTAGGGTTGAGAAATACTAACTTGTGCTAGTAATGTCTTAAATTTATGAGAAATAATTTCATATTTAGAATATTCCAAATTGTTTGAATAATATCACTACTCTGTATGAGTAATACTAACCCAGTAAGTATACAACATATCTGCATACTAATTTAGCCAAAATTGGTTTAGATGTGAATTATCTTGTTTTGCAAATCTCTTTTTTTACTTGCTATAATACTTGAATCGTTCTGATTAAGAATTGGGCTGTCCTAGATTAGATTAGATGTATAATTTAAGTAATAGTAAAAAATTACAAAATTCTTATCCAGAACTTCTAATTCCAAATTAGAAAAATTTAATTCAAAGTAGTAAATACTGTATATAAATTTTGTTATATATATTATTATTATTTATATTAATAAAAAATAAATTTAAAAAGTCATGTGATTTGGGGTGCAATATATTGCAGGTGTAATAAATTTTAAAACCTTAAAAAAAATATATCCTTTAAAAAAAAAATAATAATATATAACAACTAAGAAAAAAAAATCTGATATTACTCCAACCAAGTAGCAAAGTTATAGCTTTAGTTTTTACATTTTTATAAAATTTGTGAAAATTAAACTTTGCTAAAATAGAGTTTTAAACTCCGCTAACTAGAGAAGTTATATACTTTAAAATAGGTAAAAAAAAAATCAAAACTATGCTATATGAATAAAAAAGTAGAATTAGCATTACTTGATTTAGTACTACTAGTAATATATAAGTTGTTTATAGACAAATATTTATCTAATAATTATTATACTGATAGAATAAAAGCATATAATTTTTTATTTATATTTATATCTATTGTTACAAAATTAAATAAAAAATTAACTAATACCGCAGAAAGAGGTTATACTAATAGTTGTGAAATATCTTTACTCAAAGTTAAATAAAAATTAAAATACTTATTAAAATAAAAGCTATACTAGTTTTTTAAAATATTTTGAACAAAGCTATCTTCATAACTACCAGACCAAATTTGATAATTTTTTTTATTTAAATCTATATATCTATAGAATTTAAATAAAAAAAATTATTGAATTTAGTTTGATAGTAATAAAAATATCTTTATTTAAAGTTAAAAAAAATTAAACTAGTTATCTAAATTATTAACTATAGCTACTGCAACAAAATTGTTATAGCAAATCCTTAATTTTGATTGATTAATAGCCATGAACTTCATATTTTGACTTGTTTTACATAATTGTTTACTAATTTTTAGTCAAAATTAATCTTTTAACTTTTTTATTACAAAAATAGAAATTTTTATAAAATTAGCCTACATTGTAATAAAATTGGTCTAGAAACAATTTTCACTTAATAGACAACTATAATTTTATTAGTAAAATTATGAGTAATATTAGTCTAAGTTTTGATTCTTAATTTTAGTCAATCAAAAATTGAGAATCTACTATACTATTTTGTTATAGTATCTAGAGTTAATATCAAAATTAAAGCTGTATTAATTTTTTTAAAAAAAATTTAAGAAAAATATTTTCACTCTACCATACCAAATTCAATAAATTTTTAGAGAAAATTATGTATCAGGACCCAAATTTGAAAATAATTATAAATGATGGCCCAACTTAAAAATATTTATTTAAAAAAGCCCAATTTTTGAAAATATTACAAATATAGGCCAAAGTAATTTTGTATTGTATAAATTAGTGCCTATTGTATTGTGGCTTAAATACATATCATTTTCAATTGTAAATATTAGAGTTATGTCAAATATATCACAAATTGGGATGATGTTTACTTCGAGAAATAGCATCAAAAGACAAAATACTTACAAAAGATATAGTAAAAAAGGCCATAATATACAGACCTGTAATTAAAAACATAGGCAGAAAGAAAATTAATTTACTATGCTTAATAGAAATTGCATTCATATAAATGTTGCCTTTATACTATACATCTCTAAAATTATATTAAAATATTTTGCTAATTAAATGTATCGATTTTTTTTTAATTTATACAATCATTATTCTTTTTACTTATTCAAAAAAAAAAAAATATAAATGTTTATTACAAATAAAAATTGATAATTGTATATTATTTCTTTAATACAACTTTATGTAGTTATGGAGTGAGGTGAGTGATCATTGCAATATTATGCTGCAATGATTCTGTGAT